TAGTGATGAAGTTTTCTACTAAAAATGGCATTGGAATGGTCCACGGAGACTGGTGAGTGGCACAAGAGTGCTACATGACATCTATGAAGAAGAGTGAGGTCAAAACTATATAGCTCGCTGAGCTCGACATGAGGGATGAGCTGGAGACAAGGCCTACACCCTCAGAAGAATTGGAGTTAATCTAACTCGACAAGGACCCAGGACATTTGGTGTACGTGGGGTCCAAGCTACTTTCATTTCCTGAGAAAAAAATATTGAGGTATTCGCTTGAAAACAAGAGGATATGCAGGGGATTGACCCCCTCAGTCATCACGAACAAGCTTAGCATGAATCCGACCTTCAAGCCAATAATGGAGAAGCTTTGCTGCGGTATACCAGAAGGCCATAAATGAAGAGGGCTCTAAGCTCCTCTATGCCAAGGCCATCAGGGAGATAGACTATCCGACCTGACTGGCTAATGTGATCCTTGTTAAGAAGACTAACGACAAATATCGTCTCTGCATCGACTTTATTGACATAAATTGTGTCTCCCCGAAAGATAGCTTTCCTCTACCTCAGATTGATCTGATTGTGGATGCCGCAACAGGGCATGAATTGCCCAGTTTCATGAATGCCTTCTCTAGATACAATTAGATCAGGATGGATCCCAATGACTAAGATAAGACATTCTTTGTAATCGAACAAGGGATATAATGCTATCAGGTCATGCCTTTTGGGTTAAAAAATGCAAGAGCCACTTATTAGCGATTGTAGAATTGCATATTCCAAAAGCAGATCAAGACATCCATGGAGGTCTACATCGATGATATACTAGTGAAGTCACTGAAGACTGAGCTCCACATCCAACACCTTGAAGAATCTTTCCAAATTCTAAAGAAATACTAATTGAAGCTCAACCCAGCCAAATGTTCATTTGGGGTCTTTGCAAGAAAATTCCTAGGTTTTATAGTCAATAATCGAGGTATTAAGGCTAACCTAGAGAAAGTCCGAGCTGTGATTGACATGCAACCACCCTCAAATACAAGGGAGGTCCAATGCTTAATAGGGAGAATGGAAACATTGAGTTTATTTGTCTCTAGGTTGAGCGATAAATGTCAACCCTTCTTCCAAGTTCTGAAAAAGACATTCTAATAGGATGTGCAGTGTGGGGAGGCATTCAAACCCTTATAGATTATCTCACTGCTAGTTCTAGTAAGCCCTTGAGAAGAGGAGGTGCTCATCCTGTAACTTGTTGTCTTAGACTTTTCCACAAGCGCAGCCCTGGTGAGGAAACTGGACAGAGCTCAGCAGCTAGTTTACTAGTGTAACAAAGCTCTGAGGGGAGCAGAAGAGAGATATCCAAAAATAGAAAAGCTAGTTCTAGCTCTGGTAATAGTAGCAAGGAGGCTCAAACCTTATTTTCAGCCTCACACAATAGAAGTCCCCATAGACCAACCAATGAAGTTGGGTCTTACACAAGCCAGAGTCATTAGGAAGACTAGTCATATGAGTGATAGAGCTCAGCGAGTTCGACATCAGATACAAGCCCAAAATTGCTATCAAAGGACAAATACTGACAGACTTCATCGCAGAGTTTACGACAGGATAAAAGGCATCCCTAGCTAGTTCCTGACCTGCCGACGTGGAAAATTTATCTAGATGGAGCAACCAACGCCTAAGATAGCGGTGCTGGATTAATCCTAACATCTGCAGATGGGATAGATATAGAGTACGCCATCAGGTTTGATTTCAAAACTTTGAACACTAAAACAAAGTATGAAGCCATTATTGTTGAGCTCAAACTAGCCTATTCCATGGAGGCAGAGCAGCTCGTGATACATAGCCATTTTCCGCTGGTAGTAAAGCAGGTTGAGGAAGCATACAAAGCTAAGGGAGAAAAGATGGCTCTATATCTAAAGAAGGTACAAGAGTTAATGGGAAAGTTTGTGTAGGTTAAGCTCGTGCACATTCCTCGAGCAAAAAATTCCCAAGTTGATGCCCTAGCCAGATTAGCCACTACTTCCTAAGAGAACCTATATAGGCTCATTCTAGTTGAACACCTAGCCAAGTCATCTATGAGCTCCAAGGCTGAAGAGGTGTTCCCTGTTCAGATTCAGCCGACTTAGTTGGAACCGATTAGGGAATACCTTCATAATGGAACCCTTCCAAAAGAGCAGCAAAGCTAAGAGCCAAGTCATCTAGATTCACTATCCTCCAAGATAACCTATACAAGAGAGGCTTCTCATTGCCACTTCTGAGATGCGTTGGGCACGAGGAGGCAAACTACATTTTAAGAGAAATCCATGAAGGCATTTGTAAAAACCACATTGGAGCTTGAACTCTGGCTAGTAAAGCTCTAAGGCAAAGGTACTTTAGGCCCACGATGCTCAGAGATGTAGTAAAGCTAGTCAACAAGTGCAAAACCTACCAGTTGCATGCTAATATTTCGCACTGCCCACCAGAGCTCCTCACCTCGATTTTTAGTCCATGGCCATTACAGTAATGGGGATTAGACATACTCGGACCCATCGCAACGAGCACTGAACAATGAAAATTTGTCATAATTGGGATAAACTACTTCACCAAATGGGCTGTGGTGGAACCTCTTGCAAAGATTACAAAACAGAAGATCTAGAGCTTTGCCTGAAAATTCATAATCTGCAGATTTGGGATCCCAAGAGCGCGCGTCTCAGATAATGGGAGGCAGTTTGACAATTCTAAGTTCAAGGGATTTTGTGCTGAGTTGGGTATAAAGAATTACTTCTCAGCACCAACTCACCCTTAGTCAAATGGGCAAGCAGAAATGACCATCCAGACCTTCAAAACAGCTCTGAAAACCAAGCTCGAGGCCTTAAAAGGCCAATATGTGAAACACTTGGCAGAAGTACTATGGGCCTATAGAACCATCACCAATGTAGCCACTCAGGAAACACCTTTCGCCTTAACCTATGGCACCAAGGCAGTGGCCCGTGTGAAAATAGGCGTTCTATCCCTAAGAATAAAGCTCACCAATCTGAGAAAAACGACGAGTCGCTTCTTATTAACCTTGACCTCTTAGACGAAAAGAGAGACAAAGCCTTGCAGCGTATCCTTGATTATTAGAGAAAAACAACATGATATTGCAACAGGAGGGTCAGGCACAAGATCTTCAAGGTGGGAGACCTAGTCCTCAAAAAGCTTCTCGCAGCAGGGAAGGACCCCATTCATGGAAAGCTTGGACCCAACTGGGAAGGTCCATACGTCGTCTCCAGAATAATCATATTAGGGAATTATGAGCTACAAACTAGAGAAGGAAGGGTTTTGTCTCACTCGTGGAATGCTGATCACTTAAAAAAATTCTTTCAGTAGCTAAGAACCCTGCCTTTTGTAAAACTTCACCACAATAAACGAGAAGTTTCAGATCAATTGTTGTTCTTCATAACCACAAGATGAGCTCTTACAGCTCATATAACTAAAGATGAGCTCTTCAGCTCATAAAACTTACGAGTTTCCCAACTTATAGACAAACGATGAGCTCTTCAACTCATAAAACTAAAGATGAGCTTCTCACCTCATAAATAAAAGCTGAGCCCCCTAGCTCGTAAACTAAAGATGAAATTCTCAGTTCATAAATCTAATATGAGTTCCTTAAACTCATAATTAGAAGATAAGTTCTTCATCTTATAATTGAGATGAGTTTCTTAACTCATAACCAGACCTCACATTTAAGAATCTAGCAAGACAAAAATGCTTCCTCAAGACCAACGGTTCTCCTTAAAACAAGGGGGGGGGGGGCAAAGGGGGATGATGACACAAAATAAGACAAAGATAGCTCTTTCATTTCTTATAAATTGATTACAAAGCAAGAAAATAGAAAAGCCCTAAATATCTACAACTGGATCTGCAGCTTGAGGCAGCTCAAAAACAGTCACTCCTTTTGACAAAGTTGAAGCTGGGGAAGGATCAGTTGAAGTAGGAAAGTCCTCAGGCAAAGAAGGATCAAAGGCCCCATCATTAATAGGAACAATTGAAGGATAAAAAGTGGCCAGGTCATTTGTAAGGATTTCCTCAGCCATCCCTGTAGAAGTTGGTAGGAATAGAGCAAGCTCAAGAACTTGGGCCTCAGACTTGGCAGGTACCAACTCAGGAGCCTCAACCTCAGTCTCAGTAGGACACAGGCCCAGGAGCCTCGACCTCACCCCCAACAAAGATAAAAGAAGTTTTGACCTCGGCCTCAACCCTCTTCTCTGCAGTGGATCCTTTTTCCTCCTAATCCATAGGAGGATCGAAGTCGAAGTTTGGATCTGGAGACTTTTTCATGGCTTGCTCTTGGAAGGCAAAGTAACCCTTGGCCCAGTTCATTGCACACTCATCTTGAAGTCTAGTTATTTTGGTGTCCCTTTTCTGCACCTTGGCCCTTTCTTCCTCAACCTCCTTCAGCAGAACATAGTTGACCTCAGCTAGTTCCTTATAATCATTCTTCATTGGCTGGACAGCATCACGGGCCTCGAAGACATCCTTTTGTGCCTGGAATAAGCCCTCTGTTTTGAGCTTGAGCTCATCACTCTTCGTCTTGACCTCAACCTCTAAGTCCTTGTTCGCCGAGCTTAGACCCTACACTTGAGCCTGTAGATCTTGAACTTGCTCAGCCTTCAGGTCATCATTAGCAAAGGTTAGCTCACCAACCTTGAGCTCGTAGGCTTTTAGAGATTGTTTGGTCACCCTAGCGTCTTCCTCCATTGCTCGGATTCTGCCTACCAGGGCTCCCACATGTATTGCCATCTATAAGAATGCAGAGGATTTGAAGTTAACAAAGTCCTAACCAAACCCAAATAAAAAAAGGCAAAGGGCCTAGAGCTTATTGAAGTATCTCCATATAGAATGGTGGCAGTTGAGGTGGACAGGGGCATTGATGAGGCCTATTGGATGTCAAATTTAGGGATAACGAATGAAATAGCTTTGGTATCAAGGTTCACATCCTGATAAATGAACCCTGGCCTTTGATCCCCCAAGCCTGATGACCTCCCTACAACGTCAAAGAGCTATTGATGGGACGCCTCTTCAACTAGCTTCAAGAGAGAAGGGTCCCGTATGGAAAGAGCAATGGACTTCAGAGCTCCAGTCCCCTCTGTTAATGAAGGGGAAGTCACGACCCCAGCAGGTCTAGCAAAACTTGTGGAGGTAGGAGAAGACGCCGCCAGAGCAGCCTGTAGAAAAGAGACACCTTGAGAAGAGGAAGCCTTCACAGACAGAGGAGTTTTCTGGAGAATCACTAGAGGTGAGGGAGTCGTTTGATAGGGTGGGGGCGAAGACGTTCTCACCCTTGGAGTTTTTGGAGGAGAGCCCAGGTCGCTCCCAGATTTGACTTTGACCTTGCGTTTCTGATTTACCCTAATTAAGACATAATTTAATTAAGTTAATAGGTCAATTGTGTTAGTTAAATAAAGTTAAACTAGTTAAAATAAGCCAAATTAGGGTTAGTGTGTGAATTAGGGATAATGCATTAATTGTTGTTCTTTTCAAGATTTTGTGCGTCAAACCTACCAACTACTGGGGAGCCAATTGCGTCAAAACTACAAACTACTGAGGAGCCAATTATCAAAGTTACAAACTATAGGGTGCCAATTATTAAAGCTACAAACTATAAGGTGCCAATTATCAAAAGCTCAAAAGGGAGGGGGATCAAAGTGTAATTCAAGCTCTCCCTTTTTGCCTATAAATGGCACCCCTTGGGGCTTGTAAAGATCTTCTTTTTTTTCTTGTATCATCTTTCTTGTAAAGAGCATCTTTTGGTAGTGAAAAATTCTCCAAAAGTAATTATTGTTTTCTTGTATCATCTTTCTTGTAAAGAGCATCATTTGGTAGTGAAAAACCCTCCAAAAGTCATTATGGCTTTCTTGTATAATTACTTTCTTGAAAAAAGCATCTTTTGGTAGTGCATAACCCTCAAAAATTTATTATTGCTTTCTTTTAATTTATTGCTTTCATTTATTTTCATTGTCTTGAACTTCCTTCTTCCCTTAGAGGAGTGAAACTCTTCCACTTTTCTAGAGTTTTACCAAAGCCGTGAAGGGTGGAACGTGATTCACTCATTCTTTGTCGAAGATTGGCTCCGTGTGCAATATGTTTTACCTTGCAACTCCTGTACTTGGAGGGATGAGCATCACTCACTTTTCTAGTTTTACCAAAGCCATGAAGAGTGAGTAGTTTTTTATCCAATTTTTAGTAAGAGGTGATGGACATGTATAATTATCCGGAAGTTATAATTGTGCATTTCATTTATACTTAGCTCCAATCTTCATTTCTTCATAAATGTCTTCTCATTACATTGTTATATTTACCTTTAGCATGAGTAGTTAAGCCTTTAAGTTGGCTAATCCAAGGGAGACCTCCTCTTAGTTATGCCATTTCAACTCATTTTCCTTTCTCCTCTTAGAGTACGATGGTTTAGTTTGGGTAGGTAAAGGGTGGATGGGATTGTGAGTCTTTGATATCCCGTAAACTTGTCATGGGTTATGCTTCGACCCTCACTTCTATCTCATTCCTAGCTTTCCACAAATCAATCGTACATCTATGCTCTATTGGAGGAAGATTCAAGTTGACTTGGTAATCCCATTGGAGTGAACCCTTTGGATTAGTCAACATTTTTCCCATTCCAATTTCGTTAAGACAAAATCACAAACCAAACTTCAACAATAAAAGATTTTACACTTTGTTTTTCACCATAATCACCTTCAAAATGATTCACCTCCTTCCTTGAGGAGATGACATTGGAATACAATTCCAAGTAAAACACGACAAGCAAAAGTCTCTCTGCGCTTGGGGAGCATTTTTGTTCACACACACACACATTTGACATTTCATTGATCTACCATTCCGTTGCCCTTTCTTTTGACATCATTCCAAGGGAGAGTGACACTCCCCTTCACACACACCATACATACATTGAGGGATGATGTTTAGAGGTTAGGATATTACAATGAAAATGATCAAGCATTTTTGGTGCTGTTGCCGGGGAAGGCAAAGTGTCGAATCGTGAAGGTGATTTTTAGACAACGGAGGTAAGTCCCGTGATCTTCATTATGGGTTGAGGTACGTTGTTCCGTATACATATTCTTGTTTGTGTATAATTTCATTTGTAGATAGTTTGTTGCATGTGGGGTCGAGACGAGCAAAACCGATTGGTTAGACAACCCTTAGGCCCCAAAATGAATATTGACCAAGACCCACCCGAGGATGCGGGTGATAATTTTGATAATGTTGGTGTCAATCCAAACATTTAAAGGGATGGGAGAGTGCCCGAACCTAGAATACCTAATCCACGAATGCAATTTTTCCCTCTCGTGAATGAAGGGAATAATATCCAAATGGATCCTCTAACGAGGTCTATGAGGGATTTCCTTCTACCAACCTGTAACACCACATCCTCATGCATTCTCTTACCGGTCCAAGCTCAGCTCTTCCAAGTTAAGCCGGGGATATTGCAACTACTTCCTACATTCTATGGAATTGAAAAGGAAAACCCCTACTTGCACATAAAGGAGTTCGAGGATATAGTTGCAACCTTCAATGCTAACTATGCTATGGAGGACATAGCTCGATTGAAATTGTTTCCTTTCTCCCTTAGAGATAAAGCCACATCATGGTTGATTGCCTTGCGACCTCGATCCATTACCTCTTGGGCTCAAATGCTTTCTGAATTTTTTAATAAATTTTTTTCGGTTCATAGAACCATTGCTTTAAAAAAGGAAATTCAAAACTTTTCTGAGAAGCCTAATGAGCAATTCTATCAATGTTGGGATCCTTACAAAGAGTTACTACAATCCATACCACATCATGGATTTTAATCGTGGCAATTGGTAAGTTTCTTCTATGAAGGAATCACACCAACCCATAGACAATTCATTGACATGATGTGTAATGGCAAATTATTGAACAAAGACCTTGATGAGGCCCTTGACTACTTTAGTACATTGGCCCAAAATGTACAATCTTGGGACATTAGGGATCCTAACAACGTATCTAGGACATCCTCGGGTAGTAGTCAACCGCAAGGTGGAGGGATATATGACTTGGGAGACCGGGAAGACTTGCTTTCAAAAATTGCTAAATTGTCAAGGAAAGTTGAGAGTCTTGAAGTCAATAGGAGACACGAGGTGTCTAATGTGTCATGGACCGAGGAGGCTTGCTCAATTTGTGAGAATGTAGAGCATTTCATATCGGAGGGCCCTAACATTTCGGCACTTAAGGAAGTGTATCATGAACAAGTCAATGCCTTTAACCAAACAAGACAATCATTCTCTCCACATTTGAATACTTACAATCCGGGTTGGAGCAATCACCCTAATTTTGGTTGGAGAAATGAGAACCCCACTCCTCATGGTTCAAATACATACACACCTCCCGTGCCTCCTAAGCAAGGTCAATACCAAAATCAATTCCAAGGGCAAGGGCAAGCCTTTAGCTCCCAATATCCCCGGACTAATTCGCAAGGGTATTCGTCAAACCCACCACCATAAAAGTTTTCACCAAGTCCACCTCCACAAAGCTTTTCTCATCAAGGACCATCCAATCCTCCCACCTACCAACCTCCCTATAAGAGGAACTTGGAGGATGTATTCTACAATTTCATCCAAAGCCAAACCACCTTTAACAACAACATTTCAACTCAACTCACAAAAATTACCAATGTCATAGGGTTATCACAACAAGAGAAGGGAAAATTCCTCGCTCAACCCCAAGAGAACCCTAAGGGCCAAAATGTGATTGAGTTGTCCGAGCCCACCAAAGAGAGTTATGAGCAACTCAAGGCGGTCACCACTCTTTGGAGTGGCAAACAAATCAAAAAGAACATTGTGCCAAAGGTCTCACCCAAAACCACATTGCCAAATGAAGAAGAGACCATATGTGACACCGAGGGGGGTGAGGTGAGTGATGAGGTAGGTGAGCAAGAAAAATTGATTGATAATAGTGTGCTTGTTTCCCCCATGCTTTCTCCCTTTCCTAGTCGTTTGAAGCCACCCGTCAAGGTGGTTAATTATTCTGATATAATTGAAATGTTCAAGCAGGTGAAAATTAACATTCCACTCCTTGATGCCATTAAGCAAATTCCCTCTTGTGCAAAGATCTTAAAGGATTTGTGCACAGTGAAAAGGAAACTCAATGTCTACAAGAAAGCATTCCTCACCGAGCAAGTGAGCTCAATCTTGAGACAAACACCCCACCAAAGTTTAAAGACCCCGACTGCTCTACTATTGCCATCGCAATAGGAAATTGCTGGGGTGGAGCAAGCATTGCTTGACTTGGGGGGCTAGTGTCAATCTCCTACCTTACTCGGTGTACAAGAAACTCCAACTTGAAGAGTTGAAGCCAACCTCAATCACTCTTCAGTTAGTTGATCGAAGCATTCGAACAGCGAAGGGAGTGGTTGAAGATGTGTTTGGTTCAAGTGGATAACTTTTATTTTCCTGTTGATTTCATTATTCTTGAAACTCAACATGTTGCTAACTCTTGCTCCCAAATCCCTGTTATACTTGGTAGACCTTTTCTTGTTACATCTAATGCTATTATTAATTGCTGGAATGGTCTCATGAAGCTTACTTTTGGGAGCATGACTATAGATTTCAACGTGTTCAATTTGAACAAACATCTGGGTGATGATGAGGAGGTACATGAGGTTAACCGGATTGATACTTTGGTAGAGGAACGCTTGGAGTTAATGAGCACTTTCAAGTTGGAAGAGGAGGGATTTGTTGATATGAAGGAGATTGATGGGCCAAAGGAATTGGAAAGTGTGAAAGGGGTAGAGAGATGAACTCCTACATTTGAGAAGCTCCCAATATATGACAAGAAGATTTTTTCGTCAAAAGAGAAGAAGCCCGTTTTGGAATTGAAGCCACTTCCAACCCGTTTGAAGTATGCATATCTCGAAGAGGACGAGACTGTTCCTATACTGATTAGCTCGACCTTGGAGATCAAACAAGAAGAAGACCTGTTGGAAGTGTTAAGAAAACACAAGGGGGCTATTGGTTGGACAATTGTCGACATAAAAGGAAGAAGCCCCCTCATTTGCACACATGGCATTTATCTTAAGGAGGACGCCAAACCATCCCCAACAACCACAAAGAAGGTTGAACCCCATCATGAAAGAGGTGGTGCAGGACGAAGTGTAGAAACTGCTTCACGTGGGCATCATTTTTTCGATTGCCGATAGTAAGTGGATTAGCCCCACGCAAGTAGTACCCAAGAAGTCGGGGGGTCACGGTGGTTACAAATGAGGATAATGAGCTTATTCCAACACGGGTAATCATTGGATGGAGAGTGTGCATCAATTACTGCAAGCTCAACTTGTGCACAAGGAAAGATCACTTCCCAATGTCAT